CATCGAACCTGAAGCGGCTCCCGCGGTCTCCCCCGATATTAACTCACACGCGTCACTTGAAGCCATCACTCGTCCGCCGAAGCGAAAACGGTGTGCAAACACGACGGTCGACGAAGTCTGTGTTAAGAGAAGGCGATTGTCTGACAGTCCGAGCGATGCATCGCAGCTCAAAGACGGGATTCCTTTCGGACCTCACCCTAGATGCATGATCACGGGCTTCGTGTCCGCCGAGGTGGAGGCGTGCTATATCCTGCCTCCCGACACGCCTCAGCCGTTGGTGAGTAGGGTGGTTACTACCTCGACCTCGTAGCTGACAAGGCAGCTTTGTAGGGCAACTGCACAACGCTCAGCATGCATACTGAATCTAATATCGTCCACTGCAATGCGCCTGAAAACATTATTATCCGTGCGTGCTTCCTTGCGTCTGGCCTATCTTACCTTGTCTTACAACCCTCATGCAGTTCGACGTGACCTCCGCATACTATGGGAAATGAATCGCCTGTTGATGATACCCCATCCCGATCATATAAACCACCCTGATACCCGCCCTGTATGTATGGCACGTCCTTCCAGATGGTCGCCGTGCTCACAGTCAAGTAGGTCTACACATACCACGTCACCGTAGAGGACGAGCAGCCTCCAGACTCGGGCACCCCCCAGGATCATACCATTATACCTCTAGCTACTACCGCTGCTTGCTCGTATCGCTCGCTGGGGTGGCACGAGCTGAGTGCTAATCTGCATCTGATGACCATTCGAGTGGGTCGTGAATTCATGAAGCGACCGCTGCACTACGAGCATGTGTTCCCTATGGACGCTCTTGTACATATACCCATCATCCGGCTAGCCCACCCAGATGAGGTCGAGCCGGTCTCCTCCCACATTGAACAAGAGTCGTCAGTCGAAGTCATTCCCCGCCTGCCGAAGCGGAAACGCAGCCTGGACACAGAGCCCGATGAAGTCCCTGCCAAGAGAATGCGCACATCACGCAACGCGTCCAAGCTCGAGGACGGTGTTCCTTTTGGACCTCACCCGAGGTGCATGATCACCGGCTGCGTATCTGCTGATGTAGAGGGGTGCTATATCTGGCCTCTAGACATGCCTCAGCGACTGGTGAGTGAGTATGGCCGTTATTTTGGCTTTTGTGACTGACAAGATGACACGCCAGATCGACAACTTGATGTCCAGCATCCGTGGCAACTACAATACCCTGCGTTGTCATGCACCTCGAAATATTATATTCCGTGCGTATTTTCTGATCGGTCTATCTGTCATTTGTGGTCTCACGTACTGTACGCAGTTCGGCGCAACCTCCGAGAGCTGTGGGAAACAAACCGTTTGTTGATGATACCCCATCCTGATCATTTGAAGAAGCTTGAATATCGCACTGTATGTATCAATATGCCCTCTTGGCTGATCGCCGCGCTTATGGTCATGCAGGTGTATAAGTATTGCGTCATCGCAGAGGACGAGCACCCTCCAGACTCATGCGCAACCATGGGGAACCCCATCGCGCCTTCCGTCATGATGGCCCCTTGCTCATATCGCTCGCTCGGGTGGCATGAGTTGAATGCCAATATCGGTCTGATGGTATTTCGAGCGGGACAGAAATTGAGCAAGCGACCATTCCACTACAGGCATATTTTGCGGGAGCTGCTGCCCCACAAGGAGATCAATCATACATATGAGATAGTCTCCCGGTATAAGTTGTGGACGGCCCCCCTGCATCGCGAGATAGTACGCGGCAGGCGGTTGTGGGCAACAGGCGAGCTCGCACCCTTCCCTGATGGTTATTTCCGCTGCTTCAGCACGCGGTATTGCTCTCCCCTGCCGGATGACGATGCTGTCCGCTTTCCTTGCCCATTTCGGCCGGTCGTCTCAGGGATAAAGAGGAAACGATCTGGTCACACCAGGGCGGACATTGAGATCTACACCGCGAAGGAAGATGCTCAACGCGAGGTTAGCGTCCGTCAGTGGTGTCGAGACTGCGATCAGGCTCGAGACGAGTGGACGATGGGACCGCCTGCGGAACGTACGGACGCAGAGTTGCTCGCTTATCGACAAGAGGACGCCAGCAATGTGCTGCCTGCTGCGCAAAAATCTTGGTTGGTGGAAAATCATTTTGCAAAGTACGTTCTCTGGTAGATCTGCAGGTGAAAGTATAGCTGACCTCATCTTGTCCAAACTGAAATGTTCCAGATACGGTCCCAAGTTTTAACACCTGGCCTCATCCCTTCTGCTGCACGTTTTGCACGTGCTGCCGGGCCATGAATATTCAGATTGGTGTATTGAACATTCGAACCTCATCGACCCGCCATCGCGACCAGAGCTTCTGTCATCACGTTGATACACAGGCGGCTATGGACTGATCCTGACATCTCCGATCCGCACGGATGAGCTAGATGTGCTGCCGAACCATGCGTGGCGATTCACGGCAAGGGGCGGGATGTACAATCGTACTGAAGAACATTATATTCTGCTCTGACGTCTCTATCTCTCGGGCTATCTGCTGCATCTCAGAGTTTCCTTCCGGTCGCCGCGGTAACTATATGCGTGGTCCTTGCGAGATGCGAAACAACGTCTTCCAGCCGTCGGTGCGTACCGCCTTTCCTCCACAGAAACATCCGGTATGTTCAATGCGTGTCCCGTCTTGCTCCGTTCACTGATGTTCGGCACACAGGTTCTGGTTCTTCAAGTAACGATCCCTTCACATAAGGCTGAACGCGGTATAACTGCCAGACATCAAGACCTGACCTACTTCGCTTTTCAAACCCGGGAGTGCTTAGCACACTCGAGGAGAATGGGCCGTGCTGCTTCACAACTGCTAGCAGCATGATGACATCCCCCGAACGTGTGAGACAATATACCCGTATGTGTATCCGACAGCACTTCGATGTCGGCGACTGACTCAAGGGCAGTTTAGGCCCTACGTAGACCAGCCCTTGGGCATCGGCTCCTCGTATGGGAATCTGCTTGTCCTCAATCGGCAGGAAGCAGCAGTCAATCTGTTAAGTATGGAAACTGCAAGCATGTGCAGCCAATGGCGATCGTTCCCGCAAATCACCTTCTCCGACTCTCCATTCCGCAACTACCACGGCGTACAGACCGCTGATGCCATCTCCAAGACTATCTAGTGTTCCCTCGATCGCAAGTCCAGATCTTCATCATGGCCTCGAGGTTCGATTTATCTCGTAGTCAGACAGGCAGTCCACCTTTGGACACAGTCCAGCGACGAACGTCCTCAGACACCACCAGTGATTGGTCTATCGACGAATGGCGCACTGGTGTACACAAGCTGGTCGCCGAGAACCCACGTGTCCCTGCACGATCAGGTGATCGCTTTATACCGCTCCGCTTCCTCGCTGGACTGGTTGAATGATGGCACCGCCGCTCTCTGTTGCTCGGCCTCGCACCTCAACTAGCCCACGTGCTGGGCGCTCGAATGGCTCAAGAGCAGTTCAAGTGAAACCACCGCACAATCTATGTGCTAGGATTGCCACCTCGACCCCACAATGGATGATTGGCGCGACTTGCACCGAGGACCGGTAGTACAACTGCCCAGTATGTGGCCCGGCTTGCAAGGGCTCACGTTCCCTAGAATTCTATAGAGTTTCCTAAATAGTGTGTATTTTAGCTGTACCATACATGAGATGTAGCTACTCGGCTTCCTCTCAGCACCTGGCCTTTGTGCTGCGTATCGAGCCTGATTTGGCGATGTCGGAGCTCTGTTCTGTTGGATCCTTCGAGCACCTCGGATAGCCCTACATCTTCTTGTCTGGCAAAGGCAAGAGGTCACATATATTTGCCTAATGGGACCTTTTGTTTAAATGAATGTGTTAGTAGCCATATATGCTGTGCTCCTTGTCCCATTGTGGAACTATATCACAATGTTCTGGCACACTAGTGACATGGGTCCTCAAGCAGTGTGACTCCAGATATGGCGTCAGATCATAAACAATTAGCCTATGTCTCTTCGCAAACAGAGATGGGTCATGGAACATTAGATCCATGAATGTTTGGTCACAATTTTGCCATTTCATTTGTAGTCTACCAAATCTGCACCTGGGGGCCTGCAGGAGTTTGGAACATAATCACACAACATGGTTAGTGTTGTCCATAGCTGGGCTTTAAGGCCCAAGCCGGCCGGGCCCAGCCTGGCTGAGCCACCAAAAGCCCAGCCCAAGCCCTCCTAGAGGGCCTGGCTTTGGGCTTCAGCAAGCCTGAGCTGGGCCCTAGGCCTGGGGCTTTTGGGCATCTATATTTAATATGCTAAATGTACTGTATTGGGCCAGATTAATATATCGCCTAACACATATCTCATTGGTCACTTCCATACCACCATCACTGACTGTATATAAGCCAGCCTCTGCTGCCCTAGGGACCTCAGTTTTGACCTCTTGTCCCTAGGTCAGTAAGCCCATGTACTTACTTACTTATCCAATACTAACTTACTTGTCCCTAGCCTTAGGTTTGAGCTTTGCTCACCATCGCTTTGATAAAACCCAGTTGCATGCCCCCAGTGTCATTGTTTGGTTTTCCCTAGTCGCTTGACCCTAAGTCACAACATTAGGTCGAAACTCCTCACTGCTGCCAGCATTCCCTGGAAAACCCCACACTCACTTTTTACTTCCTATAGGAATGGGTGGTGTGCACCCTCACAATACATTACTATACATAGATAGCCTACGATACATCACCACCACTCAGGGAACAAACCTTTCAACACCTGCACTTCAGTGGGCGGTGTTTGTCCTTATGGACGTGTGGACTAGGTTCCTGCTGCATACTAGCCAAAAGCAGTACTAGGCCCCACATGAATCATTAACCCTAGTGTTACCTCAGGCACCATAGGTGTAAGCTAGTTTAGCATGGCTGTCGTGACTTAGGGTCAAGTGATAGGGGAAAACCAAACTCAGGCGCTGGGGGCGTTCGACTGGATCTTACCAAAGCGATGGTGAGCAAAGCTCAAACCTAAGGCTAGGGACAAGTAAGTTAGTATTGGATAAGTAAGTAAGTACATGGGCTTACTGACCTAGGGACAAGAGGTCAAAACTGAGGTCCCTAGGGCGATAGAGGCAGGCTTATATACAGGGGAAGTTTAGGGGAGGCTGTGCGCGCTGGTCTGTGCACAGCTGGTCTGTGCGCAGCATGCTGACACAGCCCCGGGGGCCGGTGAGTCAGAGCGGCTGTGTCAGCGGAGCCTGAGCTGTGCCGTACACTGCTGTCCTATCTAATCTATCTACAGGCACGTGATGTGCTGACGAGACTTGTCTGTTCGAGCGTATAGTACAGAGGTCGTGGGTTCGAGCCCGCGAAAAGGAAAAAATTAAAAAACGGCTAGACGCCGTACCAAGTCGTGACATTACCCCCCCCTCAACAGCACATGACCTCATGCGAGGCCCCCCAGCCCATCTCCCACCCGGAGCGGCAGCGTGCTTCAGTCAGCGGCGAAGGTATTGGCTAAAAGTTGAGACCACCAAAAACAGCAGCATTGAGGCGGCGAGGGGCATTCGGGTTCTTCTGGTGGAAGTCGGCTATGAGGGCCGGCGCATTGGCAACGTTGCGCGCCGGTTCCCATGATGTATGCGAGTCGTCATAACCCTTCCACTTGACGAGGTACTGCAGCTGATGCCGGAAGATCCTCGAATCCTTAATCTGTTCAACCTCGTACTCCTCGTTGCCCTCAACCTCAATTGCGGGCGACTCCTCCGGCTCCCGACCCGGGATATCGCTGCGTGTGTACTTGCTAAGCAAGGAGACATGGAACACCGGGTGCACAGGCACCAACTTCAGCAGAACCAACTCATAATCTAAGTCTCCGAGCTTTCGCCGCACGACATATGGTCCAAGGCACTTGGGACTGAGCTTCTTGCTTGGCTGTTTCAGCTTAAGGTTCCGAGCGTCAAGCCAGACCTTGTCCCCTGGCGCAAAGACCGATGCTTCCTGCATGTGCTTATCGTAGTAGACCTTCATCCGCTCGGCGGATAGCTCCAGCGCGGAGCGCGTGTCATCCCTGATCTCTTTCAGGATTTTAAGCCGATCAGCGGCTGCGGGCATTGCGGACATCGGATTGATCCGAACCTGGATCTCAGGATGGTACCCCTGATGCAGGAAGAAAGGGGAGTGCCCGGTTGTGGAGTGGACACGGTTGTTCAGTGCAAACTCCGCAAGCGGCAACTGTTTAGCCCAATCATCCTGCCGGTGGCTTGTGAAAGCGTGGAGGTACTGCTCTATTTCCTGATTCCAACGCTCAGTCTGGCCATCGGTCTGAGGATGGAACACTGTGGACAGCGCCGGCTCGATCCCAAGTCCCTTGTACACCGCATGGAGATACTTTGAAGCGAACTGGGGACCTCAGTCTGATATGACCTTGGCCGGGGCCCCATGATGCTTGAACACATCGCGGATGTACAGGTCTGCCGCACCTTCGGCCGTCAGGGTCTCATGACAGGCCGAGAAGTGGACCTGCTTAGTAAAGTGATTGGCGGTGACCAGGATCGAGTCAAATCCATCAGACTTCGGCAGGCCAACGATCATATCAGTGGTGATGATCTGCCACGGGTGCTCGGGGATCTCGTTCGGCTTCAGCGGACCCTGGGGCTTGGCTGGAAATGTCTTGGTATGATTGCACACATCGCAGGTGCTTACGTACTTGTTGACAAACTTGGACATTCCAGGCCACCAGTAGTTCCGCGATATGAGCTCGAGGGTTTTGGCACGACCACCATGACCGGCGATCGGTGAGTCGTGGTGGATCTTGACAATATCCCGCCGGAGCTCCGCGTTCTTGGGGACATAGACCATCCCGTGGAACAGCAGAAGCCCTTGCTCGGCATTCCACTCCTCAAAGCCCTTCTGCAGCTGAGGCGGCCTGAGGTTTTGTACCTTCTCCAGGGCCTCAGCCACTGCCCGATCCTTGTCTGAACACTCCCTGATGCATTTCAGGAGTGACTGATTGGCTGTCACTGAAGCGTGCCCTTGATGGGTGGAGGCGATGTGGAAGCGTTCCTGTTTGAGAACCACCTGATCGGTGTTATCGTCCTCATTGCCGACCTGATGGTCTGATCGGTGTAACAGGGCATCAGCTTTTCCATTCGATGTTCCGGCCTTATGCGTGATGCGGAAATCAAGGCATGCCAGGAACAGTGACCACCGCGCTTGACGACGCATGAGGTGCTGGTACGTACGCCAGTACTTGAGGTTCTTATGATCGGTGACAATCTCGAACTGATTGGGTAATCCCTCAAGATAGTGGCACCAATCGTCAAGTGCCTCAATGATCACGAGCATCTCCTTATCGTAGATCTTGTAGTTACGCTGGGCAGGGTCCATAGTGTAAGATTGGAAGGCAATCGGATGCCACTTGCCGTCATCCTGATGTTGCATCAGTACGCTGCCAGTGGCGTAGCCAGAGGCATCAACCTCGATGTGCGTCTCTCGATTGGGATCATACAATGCCAAGACCGGTGTTGTAGCGAAAAGCCGTTTGAGCTCATCAAAGGCGTGCTGCTCCTCTTCGCCCCAATGCCATGGGTCGTTCCCTGTGAGCCGGTCGAGTGGTCACGAGATCTTAGCGAAGTCTTTGATGAAGTGGCGGTAGAAGTTGGAAAACCCCCGGAACTTCTGAACATCTTTTTTGTTCCGGGGTACCAGCCACTAATTAATTTCTTTCAGCTTCGCAGGATCCATTGCTACCTCATCGCCACCAAACACATAGCCAATGTAGTCAACCTTGGGAACATCCCATTTGCACTTCTCAGGCTTCAGGAACAGATCGTTATCCCGAAGGCGGCGAAGGACCTCGCGCATGAGCTTCTCGTGCTCCTCCTTATTGGTTGAGAAGATGAGTATGTCATCTAGGTACACGAGGACCTTTCTGCCGACGATGAGATCATGGAAAATATCATTCATCATCACCTGGAAGGTTGTGGGGGAATTGGTGAGGTCAAAGAACATCACCAGGGGTTCGTACAGTCCCTGGTTAGTCACAAAGGCCGCCTTCCACTCGTCACCGGCTTTGATCCGGATGTTGTTGTATCCCCATCAGACATCAAACTTTGTAAAGAGTGTAGCACCGCGGAGCTTATCCACCATCTCGGCAATCAGCGGCAAAGGATAGCGATTCTTGACAGTGATTGCATTCAACCGGCGGTAGTCCTGCACGGGTCGAAGTGTCCCTTCCTTCTTCTTGATAAAGAAGAAGGGGGACGAAATGGGCAACTTCGACTCCCGTATGTAACCCTTTGCCAGCTGCTCCTTTAGGAACTTGTCAAGTTCCTCTTGCTCATTGTTCGACAAGGAATACACCTTCAAGTGGAACATCGAATAGCCGGGCACGAGTTCAATCACATGATCATAAGGCTTCCTTTCGGGTAGCCGTTCTGAAGCTTCCTTTGAAAAGACTTTCAGAAACTCGTGGTACTGTTTTGGTACCGACTCCTTGGTGGTCTTGATGACCTTCTTCTTGATCTCTTCCTCAGCGAACAGCTGGGAGTACATATGTCCTGCTGCAACGAACAGCTGAGGGGTGCCAGGAAGCATGATACCCTGCTCCCAGGCTTCGATCAAGTCGGCTTCGTCCCATTCGAATTCTACCGGATCTTCTTTGGGTTCAAAGTCCGGCAGTACCTTACTTCGGCAGGCACCTATGACCAACCGTTTGGACTTCGGCAAACGCCTGCGCGCCGTGGGCCTGACCCCCATATCACGCGCAGTCGCTGCTTGCTCCATTCGGCCAGTCTTCCTGGCACTGCACGTTTCAGGGCATCGTGAGAGCTTCAGGGAGCCAGACTCCCAATCAATCTCAGGGTTGTGTTCACGTAGCCAATCCAACCCGACGATCACATCCTCTGGACCGATGACCGTGACCATAAAGACCATTTTCTCTATATGGTCTCCTATCTGCATCTCGAGGACAGCTACCTCTGAGATGCTTCCATCTTTGTTGGGGGTGCCGTCGATATTGTATAGGGGAATTGGCTCTTTCAACTTCCGCATTTGCACCTTATTCTCTGTAATGAATCGCTTGTTGATAAATTTCGTAGTGGCTCCGCTGTCCACCATAGTGATTATGTCTTTGTGCCACCTTTTCCCTTTAAGTCGAACTGGAGTGTGAAAATGTTGGGACCCGTGGTCCAACTTGTACACCATTGCAGAAGACAATACATTATACTTGTTACATGATATACCCGGCCCGATGCGTGCGGCACGAAGCGCGGACCGGATCAAAAACCCTCCTCCTTCATTGCCCGATAGTGCTCCAACTCCTCGCACATCGACTTCACCTGTGCCATCAAGTCCGCCAGCTCAGTATTCGCTGAAGCGGCACTTGTACTTGCCGAGGGTGAAGCAACAGGGGCGCTTGCCACAGCCTGGGTGGAACCCGAGGCAACCATAGCCCACGCGTCGGCGCGTTTTGTGTAAGGCTTGTCCTTACAGTTGGGGCACTCGAAGCATCGGTACCCTCTCTTCCCACAGCCGAAGCATTCTCCATGGAAGTTTCCTTTTCCAATGGCCGCATTAATGCTGGCCGAAGCACCTTGTGAGCGAGGTGCACCACCACGCGCCCCACCACGTCCTCGACCTCGAGCCGAGAAGAAACTGTTCAACTCGGGCTGACGGGCCTGGCTGATGTTGAGTTGTTGCTCAACTTCCGTGGCGCGCTTGTCAGCATCTTCCCATGTGGTGAAGGTCTCCAGCTCAATTTTGCGGTAGACGCGGGAGGAGATGCCGCTCAGGTACTTGTCGCGGAGTTCCAGGTCACCATACCCGGATTGGTCCACCGGACCCTTGAACATTGCGGAGAATTCTGCGGCGGTGCGCTTCTCACGCATGGACTTGTCAGCACAGAGCTTGGCGAGCTCCACTTGTGCTGCTGCCTCGTCGTCGAGGTTGCTGAAGCGTGCTTTGAACATGGTGGCAACTCCCTGGGTACCGATATGAACCGACACAAGCTGGGCAAAAAACGGGGTGGCCCAGGTGCGAGCATCACCATCAAGGAGACTCAGGCATACCTGCACCTTGAGCTCGATGGTGGTTAGCGACGTGTTGACGATCCAGTATACACGCAACTGGGACAGGAATCAATCGCATTCGATTACCGTCTTTCCATCGTAGCGAAGTGGGAGAAGGTGTTTGAGCATCTCCTTATCCAGAGGGGACGCGGCTGAGGACATTATCGGCGACGGGGGGGACGGAGGACGGTCCGGGGGGGATGGAGGACAGTCTGGGGGCGGAGGCGGTGGTTGTGGCTGTCCGCCAGGCGGACTTCGGGGGGAGCGAATGCACGAGTGGCCTCGTGGTGGCGATGACGATACAGGCACTGAAGGAAGCCCAGGGGCGGTGTCACGTAGGACAGGGACTGGAGGCGCGGCGGGGAGTGTGTCCGGCGATGCGGCCCGACTGTGAAGTGTAGGCTCGGGCTCCAAGATTCCTTCTTCACTCGCCCTCTCTTCAGACTCTGACTCTGGAGCAGGGTCTGGAGGGAGATTGGGATCTCCTCCTCCTTGACTTGTACTGGCGACAGTTTGGGGGAGGCAAGAGCTGGGAGAGACAGCGCAGGAGTGCCGGGACACGGAGCGGGATGTGTGGGTGCTGTGGGGACCGAGCGGATGTTGGACCCTTCTGATGGCCTTGTAACGCTCGTAGTCTTGATCGATCGATTGCGGCGTGCGATTTGGGCACAGCTGTTGTTCACAGGCGAAGATGAGGGAGGAGGGACCTTCAGTGAGGTAGACGTCGAGGAGGTCCTTGGAGTTGAAGGCGTGAACAAAGCCTTGGCACGCAGCCACAGTGGGAGGGAGGAAGGGGAGGTGCGCGTACTACGAAAGGCCGTATAAGCTAGCTTACACCTATGGCACCCAAGGTAACACTGAGGTTGGCAGTTCACGTGGGGTCCAGTACTGCTTTTGGCTAGTATGCAGCAGGAACCTAAGCCACATGTCCGTGAGGACAAGTACCACCCACTGAAGTGCAGGTACCGAAGAGTTTGTTCCTCAAGTGGTGGCGATGTAAGGTACTGTCACAGTTTCCCTAATTTTACCTACTTTTTCCGCTATTTCTGCGGACATATCAAAGGGTCTAGGGACTTATCCATACTTATCCGTCCGCATATGGGTACATCTGCATATCTAAGGGGTTATCCGCTTAAATAGGCAACACATGATCTTGTTCTGGACACATCAGGCTGGACTCTGATGCCGGACCTTTTCTAGATAGAAACCAGACTCTGTCTGGACCATGACATCATTCTGACATCATAGATAGGAGCTAGGCTCAGGCACTAGGCCATAGGCCGGTCAATTCTGGACCCTAGGCCCAGGGCAGGGCAGGGCCAGACTATGACATCATCGATAGTGTCATATCGCACCATAGGGCACATGATACTTAGTAATCCTTACCCAGCTAGGTACCAGGGGTCCATTACCGGTCCCTGGGGGGTTTTCCCTCATGTATATAAGGCAGCATCCTGGGGCACCCTGCCCCCCAGTTCTATTCACTTCGTTGTTGCGCTTAACAGCATTACCTCCCCCACACTTAAGTGCTTTATCTCCCCCCCTAACTATCAAGCTATAAGGTGGGTTTGTAGGTTTTGTGATAGGTACGCTATCTACATATCGTAAGGTACAGTAGGGGTGCGCACCACCCGACCTATAGGAAGTGAAGTGAGTGTGGGGGGTTCCGAGGAACGCCGGCAGCGGTGGGGAGTTTCGACCTAATGTCGCGACTTAGGGTCGAGTGACAGGGGAAACACAAACAAGGATTCTGGGGGTGTTCGACTGATTCTTACTGAAGCGATGGTGAGCAGGGCTCAAACCTAAAGCTAGGGACAAGTAAGTTAGCATAAAAAAATATGTATGTACAGGGGCTTACTGACCTAGGGACAAGAGGTCGAAACTGAGGTCCCTAGGGCAGCAAAGGCAGGCTTATATACAGGGGAAGTTCAGGGGAGGCTGTGCATGCTGGTCCGTGCACAGCTGGTCCGTGCACAGCATGCTGACGCGGCCCCGGGGGCTGGTGAGTCAGAGCGGCTGTGTCAGCGGAGCCCGAGCTGTGCCGCGCACTGCCGTCCCATTTAATCTAACTGTACAGTAGATAACGACTTGTCCGTTCGCGCGTATAGCACAGAGGTCGCGGGTTCGAGCCCGCGGAAAGGAAAATTAAAAAACAGCTAGACGCCATGTCAACTCGTGACAGCTCTGGGTGGGAGATGGGCAAGGGGGCCTCACATGAGGTCATGCGCTGTTGATGGGGGGTAATGTCACCAGTTGGTACTAAATGGACAAGTCCTTATCTACTGTACGATTAGATTAAATGGGATGGCAGTGCACGGCACAGCTCGGGCTCCGCTGACACAGCCGCTCTGACTCACTGGCCCCCAGGGCTACGTCAGCATGCTGTGCATGGACCAGCTATGCACAGACCAGTGTGCACAGCCTCCCCTAAACATCTCCTGTATATAAGCCAGCCTCTGCTGCCATAGGGACCTTAGTTTTGACCTCTTGTCCCTAGATCAGTAGGCCCTCCTTTGTATTCTTTTCTTACCTTACTAACTAATACATTTCTTGTCCCTAGCCTTAGGTTTGAGCCTCGCTCACCATCACTTCGGTAAGAACCAGTTGAATGCCCCCAGTGCTTTGTTTGGTTTTCCTCTGTCGCTTGACCCTAAGTCGCAACAGCAGTAGTAAAATGCCTTACTTATTTTATGGCAAGTTAATAAGCCAGTATTGGTATAATAAGTAAAAGGAAAAGTGTCTTGATGGACTATCAAGTTAGTTCTTATATTAAGTAAGCTAATTAATTCCCTGTCATTTATATTATAAGAGACCTTTGGGGATTACTGGTGCTAATATGGCTGTAAAACAGCTGTGTTGTTTCTTCATATCATTTTTGCACTGTTATTTTAACTTTTATAGAGCCAGGACCAATATACAAGTCATGTGCTCAAACGGTAAACAAAAAAGTCTTAAATTAGTACAGCACCTTGATTGCTATGTAAACAGTATGTAAACAGTTTGCAAACTGTTTATACCATCTGTTTACTGTTTACCATTTATTTACCATAAATTTGTAAACATAAACTAAATGGTTGGAGCCTTACAGCTGGGTTTACAGCTGCTGTACACACTCTGTCTGCGTCGTTGCTCAGAATCAAATATGGTCAGGGTCACCTATTGTGCTTAGGTCCCATACCTGAGAGGAGGCGAGGTGCTATTCCACGGTCCTGCTAAGCCGTGCCAGTTTTTACAGATTATGCTCCACAACGGCCAGTTATGCTCTCAGTACTATATAAGGTGCTCGTGGACGACAATTGATTGTTTGGGGAGGGGGGATGTTCTGATTCTCATCGGCATCAAATTAGCGGATCCATACGAGTAGTACGAATATACGGCACCCCAAGCAGCATGTTCAAAGTCAATGACGGCATTCCTCTCAGTTTCACCCGAGATGCTTAATGACCGGCTGCATGTCTGCTAGCATGGAGGTGTGCTGTATCCTACCTCCCGACATGTCGCAGCGATTGGGAGTATTTCAGGGTACCCACTTAATCTTGTGGCTAATAAGGCGACTTCGAGGATCGACTGTACGGCGCTCTTCATGCGTACCAACTAAAAGGCCTTCCGCTACAATATGCGTGCAAAGGTTATATTCCGTGCGTGGTTTGTCATCTTAGGCCCTCTCTTCTCGTACCTCAGGTGCCGCGTGCAGTTCGACGCGACCCACGAGAACTTTAAGAAAGAAACGACCACCTGGAAGACTGTGAGCTTTGCCCTGTGTGTATCTATATGCCGTCTTCATAAATCACCATGGTGACAACTAGACAGGTGTACAAATACCATGCCATCACAGAGGACGAGCACCCTCCATACTCGCGCACGTCAATGGGTTGTGCCATTCCACCTTCAGTCATGACGGCCCCAAGTTCATATCACTCACTTAGATGGCATGAGCCGAGCGCCAATCGCCCTATGATGATATGCCGAGCAAGCCAGAAATTTGGCAAGCGAACGTTCCATTGCCAGCATGTCTTGCAGGATCTGCTGCCTCACAATGTGATGACTCATTCAGACAGTATAATTCGACGGCATATGTCGTGGACGTTTCCCCTGGCATGGGGGAGGCTGCGAGACAGGCGGTTACGGGTGACACGCGAGCCTGTTGATGATTTCCCTGCTGATTATTTCGACCTCCCCCGTAAGAGACGGTATTGCTATCCCTAATAGGATGATCAAGGAGCTTAGTTTCCTTGCTATGGCTTCCAGGAGAAACAGGAAAGGGAACTCACCATTTGAATGACGCCAGCTCAGATGAAAACGTCCTTGATGACGCAAACTCAGACGGCAACAGCTACACGGCCGAGAAAGACGCTGATCGGGAATCCAACATTCGTCGGTGGCATCGTGGGTGTGAGGAAACTCGACATGCATGGACGACAGGGCCATTTGCGAAATGCCAAAGACGCAAGGTATCGACAGGGGGGAGCCAGCGAGGTGCTGTTCATGATAGAAGAACTTTGGACGAGCGAATACTATTACTCAAGACGTGCTCGTGACAATTGTGACTGACTTTGTGGTCTCGTCAATGTATCGCGGGGACGGCTCTGATGACAACTCAACAACTCACACAGAAGAATGTGCCGTCGGGTTCGAAGAGATCAAAGAGAACGAGAGCACCGACGCCGCCGTATGAGGGCTCGATGCGCGGCGCGAGGATAAAAGATAGCAATTAGGAAGATCGAGCACGGCACGAGGCATCAGGGATCGTCGAGCGAGGGTGTCTCGAGCGTGTCACCCCATGCCTGAGGGAAAACTGAGTAGCTATATCTCTATAGTACAGCTCAATTCCAAACAATTTGGATGATTATCCAGAAGGCCAGAGAGCGTGAGCTCAAGCGAGCCGAATCTTAGATTGGGCGGTTATATCATCGGTGCGAGTCGCGCCGATCATCCTTAGTAGGGTCGAAGCCATTCAGACGCCCAGTACGTGGGCTATTTGGAGTGCGAGGCCGAGCGAGACAGCGCGCCGATGCCATCATTCAACCTGTCCTGCGAGGAAGTGGTGGGGTATAAATCGTTCACCTGATCGTGCGGGGACGCGTATCTGCCCGATACCAGATCAATCGAGCCTCGAAATTAAAGGAAAAATCTAGACTTACGACTGGGGGATGCTCAAAGAATGGAGGCGACGGTCTTAATTAAGGAACAAATTACAGCATTAACTATAGATTTTTATAAGCCCGCCTTGTATTGCTTCCATAGAATAGTTCCCACGAAGATGGTCTGTCTGTCCGACTACCAAATCAATCAAGCCTCAAGGTCATAAGGAAGATCTGGACTTACGACTGGGAGGACGCCAGATTGATGAAGTGGAGACAGGAGTAGTGGTGTGTAGGCTGTGGTCAAGGAATCAACTTACAGCACTGCCCTCATATATAATATGTCTTACACCAGGGTCAAGGACAAACTACAAGTTCGACCAGAAGCTGCGCACTCAGTCGCGATCGTCAGAGAGCGGGTATATAAGTGCAGCGTTATAGTTAAGTTGAGCTGCCGCGCGGGGTTGTGCTTGCCCCATTCTCGTAGCACACCTCGATCTAGTCATGTAATAGAATGAGAAAACGCGCGCGTAACCCAACAGATGCGTCTCTTACATCATCTCTGCCGCCGCCGCCGACCGGGGTACAGATGCGATTGCTAATGACGACACGAGGTATCTGAGGCGGTTGTCCGGATGAGTCGAGTGATGCGCATAGCTAAGAAATACTGACAGATTGTTCTGATTGTACGACATGTGGCTTGGGTATTGCAGTAACAAATCCTGAGCCTCGTGTAAGATGAAGTTCCAAACGCGTTATGAGAAATCGTACCGTCGGTCCATCTTGGGATTGACGGGTGCATCATATGCGGAGACGTATAATTCTCCAGAATCCTTTCAAAAGTATCGCCTGTCTCGTTTATGAGATACCTCGAATCATGTGGTTGAATAGCCCCACTTACGCAGAGAATGCTGAGCCACAGTGGCCACCATTTCTGTAAAGCGGTTTCAGCCGCTTTGTCTGGTCGTTATGGCAGAGAAAGGAATTACAATTCTGTCTGAAGCTCACAGCCTACCACTGGTAATTGCGGAATCGAGAGTCGGGGAGGATGATTTGCAGGAACGATCAAGATTGACGACCCCACACACTTGTACTTCTTATATTCCATAAATCGACTGCTGCTTCCTGCTAGTTGGAGACAATCAGATTGCCATACGAAAATCCGATGCCCAAGGACTGGGCCTAAAATCCCTTCCGGTCAGTCAACAATATCGAATTGCTGCCCGCTTGCACATACGGGTATATTGTCTTATGAGTTCGCGATGTAAGTCAGAGGTCGATGTCTTGTCGTCACACCGCATTCAGCCATATTACGAGGGGACTGTTACTTGACGGACTAAGAGGTGTGTGGCGACATTAGTAAATGGAGTAAGACGGGACACGGCTTGAACATACCGGATGTTCTCATCGGAAGTAAGGTGGTAATGCGACGACGTCTGGTAGACGCGGCGTGACATCTTATAAACACCACGCATGCAGTCGCATACCCTCTCTGCTCTGTGGCCGATAGCCCGAGAGCCACGGATATCATAGGGGAATGCACTAGGAATGAAGGCACGCAGGCAGCGCAATGCTGTTCAATACAAGTGCACTTCCCGCCTCTTACCGACAATCGCCACGCACGGTCAGGAAATATGTCTGGCTCATTCGTGCTATTGGCGATGGCAGGATCAGTCCGTTTGCGCCTGTGGGTCAACGTGGTCACATAAGCTCCAGTCGTGGCGGCAGGTCGACAAGGTTATCCAACGAGGGTCGTTTTCCAACAGACCATGCTGGATGGTTAAGACCTGACGGACGTGTGAAACCCGTCACGAGATAAGAAATGGGGCTAGATGTCAAAACTTGGGACCGCGTCTGTGAGCATTTCAACAAGGAACGTCAATCCAAAAACCCGCCTGCAAATGTGGCAGAGAACGTACCTTGAGAAATAGCTTTCCACCGACCAAAGCTTTTGCACAACAGGCTGCACATTGCCAGCTTGCTCTTGTCGATAAGTGAGCATCTCTGCATCCTCAGGTTCCGCAGGCGGCCCCATCGCCCACTCATCTCGAGCGTGATCGCATTCCAGATACCACTGACGAATGTTGACTTCCCGTTGGATATCTCTGATGTGATCCTGGCTGTTCCCACTGGTGTCGCCAGAACGTCTCCTCCTAATCCCTGAGAGGATTGGCCGGAACTGGCGACGAAAGCGGTCAGTGTCGTCATCCAACAGGGGAGAGCAATACTGCGTTCTGGGGGGGCGGTAATAATTCTTAGGACAGGCTGAGAGCTCGCCTGTTGCCCACAACCGTCTGTCAGGTACGATTGCACGAGTCAAGGGGGCCGTCCACGTCCCATGCCATCGGATGATGGTGTATGCATGATTGACCTCATTGTGGGGCAGCAGATCCCGCAAGACATGTTGGTAGTGCAGTGGTCGCTTGCTCAGTTTCTGACCAGCTCGGAATGTCATCAGACGGAGATTGGCATTCAGTTCATGCCATCCGAGCGACCGATATGAGCAAGGAGCCGTCATGACGGAAGGTGTGATGATATTATTCATGGTTGTGCACGAGTCTGGAGGGTGCTCTTCCTCTGCAACGATGCAGTATTTGTAGGCCTGCATCAATGTGAGCACGGCTATTGGCAAAGACGCCACATAATACATACACTGCAATGCTCGAGCTCCTGCAAATGATCAGGATGGGGTATCATCAGCAAGCGATTTGTCTCCCAAAGTTCTCTGAGATCGCGTCGAACTGCGTGCGGTATGTGAGGCTTCAAAGGACAGAGAGAACGTTGCGAAACACGCACGGAAAATAAAATTTCCAGGTGCGGGGCAACGGAGGACGTTGTAGTTAGTATGCATGTTGAACGTAATGTAGTCCATCTTCCGATTCATCTTGTCAGCCACAAAGTCAAAGTACTGGTCACGCTTACTCACCAATAGCTGGGGCATGTCAGGAGGTAAGATATAACACGCCTCCACCTCAGCAGACACGCAGCCAGTGATCATGCACCTTGGGTGAGGTCCGAAAGGAACACTGTCCTCGACCTTGGACGTGTTGCGTGCCGAGCCGGACGTGCGCATTCTCTTGGCAGGGACTTCATCGGTCTCTGCATCCGGGCTCCGTTTCCGCTTCGGCAGGCGGGGGATGACTTCGACTGGCGAGTCGCCTTTGATATGAGAGAAGACCGGCTCGACCACATCTGGGTAGACGGGCGTGATAGTGGGTATATGCGAGAGAGCGTCCTGAAATAGATGATGCTCGTAGTGGGTCGGTCGCTTCATGAACTCACGGCCCACTCGAATCGTCATTAGATGCAGATTCGCACTCAGGTTGTGCCACCCCAGCGAGCGATACGAGCTACAAGCCGTCGCGACTGGAGGTGTAATGGTATAATCCTCGGAGATGCACGAGCCTGAAGGGTACTCATCTTCTGCAATGACGTAGTATTTGTAGGCCTACTTGACGGTGAGTGCAGCGACCACCTGAGGGGACGTACGATACATACAGGGCGGGTATCGGGGTGGTCTATATGATCGGGATGGGGTATCATCAGCAGGCGATTCGTTTCCCATAGTATGCGGAGGTCACGTCGAACTGCATGTGAGTTGTAAGAGAAGGGGAAACGGGCTGGAAATGAGCAAGTACGCACGGAATATGATGTTTGCAGGCGTGCTACAACAAACGGAATTAGACTCAATAGGCATGCAGAGCATTGTGCAGTCGTCCTACAAAGCTACCTTTTCAGCTACGAGGCTGAAATAGTAACGACTCTACTCACCAGCCGTTGAGACATGTCGGGAGACAGGATATAGCATGCCTCCACCTCAGCGGACACACAGCTCGTGACCATGCACCTAAGGTGAGGTCCGAAAAGAGCCTCATCTTTGAGCTTTGACGCGTTGCTCGGACTGTCAGACAACCGCCTTCTCTTAACACAGACCTCGTCGGCCGTCGTGTCCGCACACCGTTTTCGCTTCGGCGGGCGAGCGATGGCTTTGAGTGGCGCGTGTAGGTAACTGTGGGGGGAGATTGGGTGAACACCGTCCGGTTCGGAGACCCTGATCTTCGTGCAGTCGTGGATGGGTATATGCCCAAGATCGAATGAGGCGCTGTCCTCAATGTTGGCGGCGCCGCTCGAGATATCAGACGTCTGCGCCCTCTTTGCGCAAGCATCATCAGTGCTCATGTCCACAAGCCGCTTCCGTTTCAACGGACGGAAGACGTGTTCAAGAGACGGGTGCACCGCATCCGAGTCGGGCTTGACATCCCCGGCACTTGTGCAGTCGCCAATGCGTATATGCTCAAGACAGAATGAGGTGTCATAATCCGCTTTGGTCGCGTCACTCAATATGTCAGGCGGCAGCACTCTCTCTGCGCGCAATTCATCAGGCCTTATGTCCGCCAGCCGTCTCCGTTTCAGCGGACGCGTGATGTCTTCTGGTGGCGAGGAGTCCGCGTCTGCTTCGACAATCTTGATATCCGTGCCATCTCCAGTGGTTGTATGCTTAGAATCGTCATCAAAAGAGATAGATGGCGCACAGCTGAGTCCAGAGACAGGTGTAGCCGGTGGAGAGCTTTCGCGTGAAGAGGAGCTGCCAGTGTCGTCCGAAAGCGCAGGAGTATTTTCGCGTGGGGGGTGCTCAGCAGCGAGCATATAGGACATGTCAGGAATAAGGATGTTAAGGCCATTCATTTTTGTGTCGACTACAACGCGAGTTCAGCGGGATAGTGATGATGGTGTAGCGCGAACGGCGCGCGCCACCAGTGCCCATAGCGAGTGCTTAGTCAGCGCTGCTCTCGGAGAACCCCGAGGCCAATCAAGTCTGGACTGGTGCATTTAGGCTTCCTCGGGTGCGTACATCACTTCTATGCAGTCGCGTAGGTCTTTGTGAGCCCTGTGAGTCCCATGAGGATTGGGAGACACAGAAACCAGCATCTTTGATTGCTTCATATACGCACAGTTGGCATGCATGTCGGGTGCGTTCGTTTTGTATCTGCCGTCTGGTTTGTATTTCAGAGATGCTCACATTTGACTGCTGTAGAAACGTAGGTCTTTGTTATCACGGGATACTGCGTCACTGTTTCCGTGTCCTGATTCAGTTCTTCATATGATGCAGAATGTCCTCTACGGGCACGTTCATCTCGACTGAGATTGTCGTAAAGTGCTGCAATCGCTGCTTCCTCAGTATAGAGTCTTACGCACCATCTTGGGAAGAATCCCAAGTGGGGAATGTGTCGATATGTCGAACGAAACGTTGACAATGTAAGGACATTCGTATCTGACCTCCTATGTTCGTCATCGTAATCCATCTGGATCTGTTAAATCATAAGGCTTGGATTTGTACATGATATAGGTACAAGCCTTCTATATGCATCATTCTGAGACATGTTTGAAGCCCTCTGCAGACAAGGGCGGTGTGCCGTGTCAACTCCCGCTTTCTTTTGCAAACACTCGATAACTGTAGCTTTGTCGGCGATGTCGTGATCTACTCCTCTCTGAGCAGTTCCATTCACTGCCACCCGGGTCGTCATTTTGCGGTGAGGACATGGGTTTTGATGCGAACAGACAGACGTTTCACCTGGGAATGCTTCGCGCCAGTGAGGTCGTTCAACATGATCTAGGTGAGTTTCGTGCCTTTTCGCCAAGCCTTCCGCAGACTGACTGTGCGATTCCGATTCAGCAAATGACAAGCGTGCTTCCATATGCGACCTTGACAGTGTGTCTCTCCGATCAGTGGGGCACGGTTCCCGCGCCTCAGACGGCGCATCTGATATCACAACTACAAGGACTCACCTCGCACAGACCCATGCAGATTAGGTAATATGCGACCCGCGTCGACGATTGCCACAGGAATTAAATTGGAATACAATGGCCTCTGTGGCCTGTGGTCACGCGCTTCACAATATATAACATGAACTCAGCCAAAGCCGCTCGAGCCACTCACTCTCTCCGTCTGTTTCTTCACCTCCAACCCCCACTTCACCTCCAAATATCCTCGCGATGGTTAACGGCTTCAAACCGAGACGATCTAATAGACTGAAACATTTGCCGAAAGGTATGGGTCCTCGTCGTTACCGTTGACGGGTTTGCCCTGACGGTGGCCCGGCCACAGTTTATTACTGCGAGAACAAGACGGCGGATGGAAAACGAAAAAGAGGAGAATTAGACGAAGAAGAGGAATATACGCCGTCCCGGGAAGGCACGCCGGAGAATGAGAGGACTAAAACACGCGCGCGCCAGAATGAGAGGACTCCATCACGGAGAGTAAGACGCAAGACCGCCATTACCAAGGATGCTCGACAGCGAGCGGTCGACGCGTCTCAGAATGAGGGTGCCTGCATAATATCAGGCATGAAGGACAAATCCGTTCAGCAATGCCATGTGCTGCCACGGGCCACAAAGGCGGATGTGGTAAGCTCAAGTGGCTCTTGCACGCAGGCGGTGTCTCTGACGATGTGCATACACATATACATAGCTCACGGCTCTAGAGTGGTGGTGGGACATTGAAGAGCTCAGCGTGGATTCACGCCACAACCAGGTCTTCCGTGCGTCTTCTTTCCAGGAGGCATGCCGATACGCGTGGGCTTACTTGCATACAGTCCGTGCCGATCTCCATGCATTGTGGGACCGTGGATACATTTCGATCATGCCAATGCCTGACGTGACGAAGGAATATCTGGCCAAGTGGCAGGATGGTGGCAGGCACAACGTTCTGGAGGTCAGTCGCTGCAGCCTGATAATCCACGACTGATGCGAGTCGTCGCCACAATGCGTATAGGATAGCGATGAAAACAAGATCCACGAGTACTGTGTGATCTCTCACCCACACCTTGACAACTATGCGATCCGCGAAGGGTTCACCTACGGATTCGAGAAGGTTGGGATCATTCGGTCCCATGCGAAGCCGCACTTCATGGCCTTGAACGCGGCCATGAAGCTCAAAGAGGACAAAGACCTATGGGTGGAGGCACTAACGGCGTTCTGCAAGAGAATTGAGCTCGAAGTCGACGCATCCAGCTTCGCGGAGGATGTCCTGAGCTTGTCTGACGTGTGGACTGCGCCTCCACCCGGGGACGCAGAGTTTCTGATGAAGGAGGAAAAGGAGCAGGCGGCGGAGGAAGCGCGTAGGTCAGTGAGCACATTTGAGCCGTGGCATCGCAGTCACATATCTCGTTCGCAGTCTTCCACCAACGGTACCTACAGGCGAGGCAATGACCCCTAAACGTCTTAAAGGTACGTCGTTACGCTTTGGCTTGTCATGTGGCATGGACTTACTTCAACGTCCTCGTGTGGCGCAACAGCTCTTATGGGTCCAGAAGCTTTGAGTCAGGACAAACGCTCCAAATTGAAGGCCGAAAAGCCCGATGGCGAATCATGCGGTAGCAATCTCAAGTTGTATGCCGCCTATTTGGCGCCTACTGGATCACGGTGCCTGTTGAGTCTTCAGGACGCCAAGTCAGTCCAAGGGTGTCACGTTGTGCCGCGAAGGACCGACGACGATACGGTAAGTCGTCAATAATTCTTGATGATCCCCGTGTGATTATGGCTTGGATGCTCTCATGCATGTAGTGTACGACAGTGGCGGCGTGGTGGGGGCTTGAGGAATTCGACGTCGACTCCCCTTTCAATATCTTCTTATGTGAGTGTATATGCCCAGGTTGTTCGACGTAGCCCTGATCCAGGCCCCATATAGTGAGAGCGGATATCCACAGCTTGTGGGACAAAGGGCATCTCATGTTCGTGCCTGAACCTCATATTGTTGAAGATTATTTCGCACGATCTATTGTCCCCATAGGTGAAGCCTCGGTGAGTACAGAGACATGGCCTGGACTGGTATCTTGCTCACGGTACTATCTAGTCTCTAGCCGAGCTATTTGAAGCGCCCGGTGTCCCCGTCTACAGATATTGTGTCGTTGCCCATCGCGACCTTCCCGAGACAGAGGAGAACGCTGCATTTCCGAGGGATATCAAGATCTTAGGCTATGTGGAATCGCCAGTCCCTCCCCACTTCGTTATATACAATGCGGGGCTGATGCTGTCGAAGAGTGGACCAGATGGGTTCGAAATGGCTCTAGATGCCTTCTACAAGCGCCACGGACTCGACTTTGAAGCAATCGACATTCTCCGTGATATGCTGGCTCTCTTCCAACGATATACAACAGACATGCCTGACCGCCAAAATGAGCATCCCGCTACCCAGCGTGCCCCTTTGCTCTAGCTGTCTTCATCGGTGCGTTGGCTGGATTTCATTCATACTCCTACCATAACGGATGTGAATCCTTAGACGGAACCAAGAAATCCATGTGTTACTCGGTCAATGCTAGGCGTTGGATGACTATTAGTATTTATGTGGCCGTATGGCCAGCTTGGACACGAGAATCATGCCTTGATATGATTAGCCATATATGCCCCATTATGTAGTAACCATCATATCCTTATCTATACATTTTTATACTCCATGTCTATGAGAAGCAATCTAATCATATAACTGCTCATCAAAGGCATGAGAGGCCACTTGCATTGTTTGAACTTCCCGAAGCGGTACGCAATTAGTTTATCAATATCGTGTGTCGATTCGAGGCTGGTGGGATTCAGATCATAGTCCACTAACCATCAGTTGTACAATGCACGACGCCTGGCACGAGTGGCAAATCTAGTTGAGACGTGTTAATACGAGGTTACATGGCTGGGAGTGCGTAGGACCGTAACGTCGCATCTCGCCAGCGCTCTAATATCCTCGCCATGTATAGGATTGCAACTGAGTACGGTTTCTAGCCACAAGAGCCTTTGTATATACTCTGCCAGCAACATTAAAGGAAGCTCCTGTTGAAGCATGTGTTCAGGAACGAGCTCGCAAGCTCGGGCGCGCGAGTAGCCGGGGGCCGGAGGCCCCTATCGTAGTATATAACGACCCCGCGCGATGTACGTACCGCACGCGATGGTCCCTTACGGGCATCGCTAGCTCGTGGACAAACGTGCTCGCCGCGCCGTCGCACCGGTTGTTCCAACAGCTCCACGCTTGAAAACAGGACGACGGGCGAGGTGACACGGTTAGTCTATATTATGATACTTAGCGGTGACTACGAAAAGGCCGGCGTCTAGAGAAAGACGCGATCGATGATCGGCCAATGAGAATCATCGCAGTCATAGCTTCGAGCGATGGCCCTCACTGACTTTTTAAAAAAATTCGACGGGTTTAGACTCCATACAACGTAGGTACAAGTAGAGTTTAGATGAGCCTCCAATAGCTCTGAACAATGGGCTCTGTGCCCTCAGATGGAAGCACTCAAGACTGAGGACAATGCCAGGTGTCAATGCCCTACAGGTTTCAGGCAGACTAAGTATGCCCCCCAGGGGAGGCGTGGATGGTCCTCGCGCGTGGCACATTGCGCCAGCAACCCGCGAGTGAATAAGAGGTCAGGTAGTAAGTGGGACAGCAGCATACATCATGCCGGACCAACGTGGGGCACTGGACTTGAAGAGGCGGCAAAGGTGGTGGAGGAGTGGGATGTGTCAACTACATCCCGCTCCTCCCAAAGGATGAGGTTCTTGGTGTGTGTTTCAACAGCGCACCACTCCGTGAAAGCCTCGAAGTCAGCACTCCGAGAATAAGCAAGCTCTGGGACCTTACCACGGTTGTCGCAACTTGAGGTCAAGCGACAGGAGAAAAACCTAAGAAAGCTGGGGGCGTTCGACTGATTCTCACCGAAGCGATGGTGAGCAATGCTCAAACCTAAGGCTAGGGGCAAGAGGTCGAAACTGAGGTCCCTAGGGCAGCAGAGGCAGGCTTATATACAGGGAAAGTTCAGGGGAGGCTGTGCGCGCTGGTCCGTGCACAGCTGGTCCGTGCACAGCATGCTGACG